TGGGGGTGCAGGGGACCGGAGAATCGAGGGGTCCGGGGGTGGAGGAGGCCCGGGGTCGGGGGCTCAGGATGGAGGGGCCCGGGGTGGGTGGTGAGGCGGGCACTGAGGCAAGGGCTGGGATGGCGGAGGTTGATGACTTGGATGGAGGAGGCTGGGCGGGGTCATCCCTTGTTGGCCTTGGATGAAGGCGGCTGGGCCGCGTCATTGGAGAAGGGGCTTGGGTCGAGGAGGCTGGGTCGGGTCATCGGGGAAGGGGCTGGGCAGGTCACCCCTAGAGCGCTTGGACGGAGGAGACCCTAGAGACCGCTGGAGGAATCAGGAGGAAGGGGCGACCCAGGCTGAGACCCATTTTTTAAAGCGCTGCTCCTTTTGGAGCCTGCCTTTCTGGGACCCTTTGCAGAGACTCTGCCATCAGCGCTGGGCTTCCTCTGCCTGGTGCTCCCTCTCTGACCCAGCTCTACCTCAGAACTCAGTTCATGTACTTGGATCAGTCTCAACCACTGGGTGGGACTCTTGAATAGAGAGGGCCAGGTCTTCCCCTTGGCATGGAAACTCTCAGGTGAGATTGGCCTCCTGAGGAGGGCCAGGAAGTGAAGGAATGTGAGGTCAGGTGGGCAGCAGTGGAACAAGACTTATCTTCATGGGAGGACTTGGGAGCCAGATGAGGGCAAAGCTGTGTCACCACCTCTTGACTGGGAGCTCCTTGATGGACAGTCTCTGGCCTGGACAGGCTCCCTGGGCAGGCCTGTGGCTCCACCTTTAGGCACTCCCTGGGCAAGGGTTGTGTCCTGTTATGGTGGCCTGGCTGGCAGAGCTGTTCCTTCATGGACTGAGATGGACTGAGGCCAGGGTACTAGCCCTTCAAATGTGGCTCTTCCCACTAAATGGCAATTTCTTGAAGGCAGGCCCAAGTATCCCCTCAGTAGTCGGCTTGTGCCTGTCCCGCCCCTCAGATCCTTCCTCAGTGATGTTTTAGGGTATAGCAGTTGGTTAGCAGGTGGCAGTTAATTGAGAAAAGGGGCTTGGTTAGTAACTTGGGTAGGAGACAACTTGGGAATGCTGGATGCTGTGGGCTTTGGGACCAGTGAGATGGCTCAGTGGGTGTAAGCATATACCGTCAAGCTTGATGACCTGAATTTGCTCCCCAGGCCCCACATGGTAGAAGAAGGTAATCAACTCCTGCAAACTCTCCTTACCTCCACATATGTGTGTGTGTATGTGTGTGTGTGTGTGTCCCCAAAGGTAATACAAAGAGAAAGAGGTCCCCTTGTAGGTAGTGGTTTGGAAATAGGTGAGTGCATGACTTTCACACCCTAGCATTCTTCAGCCTCATGGGAGGGAGCCAAGTGTCATGGGAGGGGAGGATGCTTCACAGGGAGGTGGTTCTGGGCTTGGGCAGAAGGGACCCTGAACATGAAGAGATGCAGAGCTGGGATCCTGAGATGGGGTCCTTAGTATGTGTGTCAGGGGGATGCCTGTGAGGTCACTTGGTGTCTGCATCTGCCCCAGCCATTCCTGCATTCTGGAGAAGGGACCACCCTTGGCTATTGTGGTGGGAAGAGAGTGGGCCTGTAGAGACTGCTCAACCTCTGCTTCTAGTGAGGACTTGGGGGGCTGCAGGTGGCCTCTGCCTGAAGAGCCCTGGTTGTCCCATCCCCAGATCAGTGGACAGCTCTCTCCTCGTCTTTTTCGGAAGCTGCCTCCCAGGGTCTGTGTGTCCCTCAAGAACATCGTAGATGAAGATTTTCTCTATGCAGGGTGAGGTTGGGACCAGGCTGGGAGGAGGTGGGTCAGGCAGTGGGCTTGCCCTCATCTGTCCATTGTGCCCTCTCTGCCCCACAGCCACATCTTCCTGGGCTTTTCCAAGTGTGGCCGCTATGTCCTGTCCTATACCAGCAGCAGTGGCGATGATGACTTCTCCTTCTACATATACCACCTCTACTGGTGGGAGTTCAACGTCCACAGCAAACTCAAGCTGGTAGGGTCAGGCCTTCCCCCTCAGGAGGCATTTCAGACAGTGAGACCCCAGCAGGGTCCTGCACCCCTCAGTCTGTGTCTTCCTGTGTAAGATGGGCTTGTTGTACTACTTGTGGGGCAAACCGTGTGGAGTTGCCATTTTGTAGTAAATCAAAAATGGTGGTGAATTTATTTGACTTAAGTAGCATGTAAGGCCCATCTGACACCCTCAACAAGGTGCAGGCAGCTTTCAGAGACTGTGCAGGTGGTTGCCACAGTGACGTTAGCATTCATCCTTGATCTATGTTCCAAGGGGTATGCTGCTACCTCAGTTTTCATGCAGCCTCCAAGTTTCAAGTGGGCTTTGTTACCCAGGGGGAGCAAGGAGGCAGTATTTCTAGTCAGGTCCCTTCCAGCTGAGCTCAGGCCTTCCTGGGCTAATGGTGGTGGGAGGCGCTCTGGCATAGCCGTTGCTGGCCAAGATCCTACATCCTCTGGTCAGCTCTTGCTGACCTCACACTGACCATGAGCATGTCGCTTAGGTCCGGCAGGTGCGGCTCTTCCAGGACGAAGAAATCTATAGCGACCTGTACTTGACTGTGTGTGAATGGCCGAGTGACACCTCCAAAGTCATTGTCTTTGGCTTCAAGTGAGATCTGGGGCAGGTGGGGAGGCTGTGGGGACAGGCTGGGAGGGCTAGTGGCCCACCTTGGGCTGAGGGTGTGCTGCCTCCAGCACCCGCTCCGCCAACGGGATGCTCATGAACATGATGATGATGAGTGATGAGAACCATCGAGACATCTACATCAGCACTGTGGCCATGCCACCTCGGGGCCGCTGCGCTGCCTGCCAGGATGCCAGTCATGCCCACCCAGGTGAAGCACAATGGGTTCTGGAGGGGTGCATGGCTGTTGGCCCACTGCTGATGCACTGAGGGAGCTGTGGTGTGTGTTTCTGCAGGTGACCTGAGTGCACAGTGCCTGCGACATGGCTTCATGCTACACACCAAGTACCAGGTGGTGTATCCTTTTCCTACCTTCCAGCCCGCCTTCCAGCTCAAGAAGGACCAGGTAGTGCTGCTTAACACCAGCTACTCGCTGGTAGCCTGTGCCATCTCCGTCCATTCAGCAGGTAGGCCCAGGCCAGGTGGTCCTGTTTCTACCGACAGGGCAGACCAGGAGAATAGCACAGAGGGACCAAGTCTCTCGAGGTCATGCAACTTGGAAGTTGGAAGGCTGGGTACCTACCTACCCACGCCCTCCCCAGGACCGTGCACTAGAACCTTCTGAGGGGCTGAGATGTTCCGTGGCTTCTTGTCCACTGTGGCTGCCTCCAGTAGCTGCTCCCAGTGTGGCTTTTGCTACTCAGGAACTGAGTGTTTTACTTGAGCAGTAGTGTGGCTAGCAGTTTTCACACAGGCAGTTCCCCTGTCTAGGAAGCCATGTTGGCATGGGTCAGTGTAGAACCTGCCAAGCACACAACACAAGTGCTGGGATTAAAGCCATGCACTGCCACACCTGACTGTCACGGTGTCCTTAAATATTTATTTAAAAAAAATTGTGTGTGTTTACATATACACACATGCCATGCCATGCATGTGGAAGTCAAGAGGACAGTTTATGGGAGTTAGGTTCTCTTACCATGTGGGTTCTGGGAATTTTAAACTCAGGTTGGCAGACATGGCAGGAGGTGCCTTTAACTGCTGAGCTATCATGCTGGCTTCTCACTGTGTCTTCATAGCGATATGTTAGGAAGTGGGGTGGTATCACTGGCTGGCAGGGAAAGGGTGAGGGCCTAGGGACATCTGGGCCCACAGCTCTGCCCTGCTGGTCCCTTCCCTCAGAGAAAGCCTTTTGCTTCCATCAAGTCCTTCCATTCAGGTCCTTAGAGAAGAGCCAGGGACTTCCTGGAGCCCTTCCCCAAGATAGGAGGGGGTTCAAGCATGCTGTGGAAGACCTGAGATATCCCACAAAGCATATATTACATTTAGGCACAGTCTCAGGAAAGAAAATCTACAACTGATTACTACTTAGGGATAAATTAGTAACATGTTTTTTATTTATTTATTTTTATTTATTTATTTATTTTTTTGGTCTTTTTGAGACAGGGTCTCCTTGTAGCCCCAGCTGTCCTGGAACTCACTGTGTAGACCAGGCTGGCCTAGAACTCACAGAGATCCGCCTGCCTCTGCCTCCCAAGTGCTGGGATTAAAGGTGTGTGCTACCACGCCCGGCTTTGTTTTTAATTAAAAAAAATTTTTTTTTTTTTTTGGTGTGTAGACATGTTGTGCCTTGCCTGCAGAGGTCAGAAGAGGGTGTTGGATTCCCCTAGAATTGGAGTTATGGACTGTTGTTAGCTGCCATGTGGGCATTAGGATTAGAACCTGGGTCCTCTGCAAGAGCAGCCAGTGCTCTTAATTGCTGAGCCATCTCTCCAGTCCCAGTAGCACATTTTTAATTTGGGGAGAACTCAAGAGCATTCCAATTAAAATGGTTGCTCCTGAGACAAGGGAAGAAACAGGCAGGATCAAGTGACCAAGCTGACCAGCAAGGGACAGCACACTTGTCTTCAGACTCAGCCTGCCTTCTCCCTATCCCTGTCCTGCATACTGGTATCACTATTGAGAGAGATGCTATTCCTCACCAAGACTGTGTGACCTGAGTGTTGACTCTGAGCCTCCTGTGTGACCCAGCGGGACTGTGGCCCTTGCTTTTTCCTGTATGAGCTTTGTCTCCAGCTGTGTTCACCCTGTCCCTGGAGTTCACACCAAGCTATTTTCAACTTCTGTCCTGTTGCCTGAAAGCACCTTGGGGCTGGATTCCTAATCTTTCAGTGTGACTTGGACACTAGCTAAGTTCCTATGCCAACCCCACACTTCCTCTTAAAGGCGGCGGAGGTGGCATGGATGGAGGCCCCAGATGTGGTCTGTCAGTACCTGAACTGGCCTGGCCTGGTTGTGAGGGCTCACTTATGTGACTTTTATTTACCCTCACTGTAGACCGTCTACTCCAAGGGCAGGGCTTTGTGCATCTCATTTGTGTTCTGTCCTTTTGAGTGGCACCAGTGTTAAAGGTGAAGTTTTGAGCTGGGAGTGGCTCAGGGGTAGAGCTTTAGCCCTGCCTGTGCATGGGGTCCACCCCCAGCACCATTACAAAAGATTTGAATGAATGCGTCTGCATATGAATGACCTGTGCCCAGAGTATGTGTGCTTTGTGTATGCGTATCCTCCAAGGGGTTCACACTGATTTCAGCACCAAAGGGGCTCGAAGGTGCTCCTTGAGGTGGAGTTCTAAGAATCTGGCAGGTAGTGAAAGAGGTGAGGTTGAAAATGAGTTGTGATGACCTATTCCACTTTGTGTCTTGTAGGTGACAGCAGCTTCTGCCAAATCCTGTATGACCACACAGCTTCGCCCCCAGCCCCCCCCAGCCCTCCAGGACCTCAGAGCCCAGAGGCAACCCCTGCCTTCCCTAGCCTTGGCCCTGAGGTGGCCCCAGCCCGGTCCTCTGGAGCCCCTGAGCCCTCACAGGCCATTGCCAAGGCCAAGGAATTTGTGGCTGACATTTTCCGTAGGGCTAAAGAGGCCAAGGGTGGCACCTTGGAGGAAGCTCGGCTGCCCCTGGGCCTGGGGCCCTCAGGCAGCCGCTGCCGCCCAGCCTCAGAGCCTCTAGCCCCAAGTGGGGAGGCTGCAGAGGCACCTGCCTCTGAGCCTGGCTACATCAACTACACCAAATTGCACTACGTGTTGCAGTCTGGGGAAGGGACAGAGCAAGAGGATGGTGAGGGGGCTTCCTGGGATAGGTTGTGGGATGGGGCAAACCCAAGCAGGCTGTTGGCCTGCCCCTACCACCTGCCTGCCTCCCCAGAGTTTGAGGATGACAAGATCTCCCTGCCTTTTGTGGTGACTGACCTCCGAGGTAGAAACTTACGGCCCATGCGGGAACGGACAGCCATGCAGGTGGGTGGCTATTGTGCAAGGGTGGCCCAGGATCTTTGGAGTGGTTGGCACTACCTACCTCTAGCTCTCTGCCCTCCTGTTGTCCCCAGGGCCAGTACCTAACAGTGGAGCAACTCACTCTAGACTTTGAGTATGTCATCAATGAGGTCATCCGCCATGACGCCACCTGGGGCCACCAATTCTGCTCCTTCAGTGACTATGACATAGTCATTCTGGAGGTGGGGCCAGGGCGTAGCAGGGGGTAGGGTGTCTCCACTGTGGGGTCTGTCCATAGCTGTCACTGCCTGCCTCTAGGTCTGTCCAGAAACCAACCAGGTCCTCATCAACATTGGCCTCCTACTCCTGGCCTTCCCAGCCCCCACCAAGGAAGGCCAGCTCCGGTGAGTGGCAACACTGTTTGCCTGCCCACATTGAGTCCCTTCTGTGCAGGGTTTAGGGGGTGGGCAGGCAAAACCAAGGGTGATCATGCTGTCACTGGTACATCAACAAGCCAGTGCAGGGAGTCACCCCTTCATCCCCCCACTGCTACTGCAGACCAAAGACTTATCACACCAGCCTCAAGGTGGCCTGGGACCTCAACACGGGCATCTTTGAGACAGTCAGTGTGGGTGACCTCACTGAAGTCAAAGGGCAGACCAGGTGAGGCAAGGCTGGGCACAAAAGGGCAGGAGTGGGTTGCCAGGGTCCCCAAGCTGATTGGGAGAGGGAGGGCTCCTCTCCACTCACTCACCTGGCCCCTAGCGGCAGTGTCTGGAGCTCCTACCGCAAGAGCTGTGTGGACATGGTCATGAAGTGGCTGGTGCCTGAGAGTAGCGGCCGCTATGTGAACAGGATGACCAACGAGGCACTGCATAAAGGTAAGGATTTTCCCTGCCCTCACCCTGGCTGAACGTGAGTGCACACTGGACATGCAGGGGAGTGTCTTGGAATCTGAGTGCCGGCCAACTTGGTGCTCATTAAACAGGAGTTTTAACTGACTGGAGGTGGAAGGGGACCTGTCTGGAATCTTCTGGGCCTAATCAGGCCATAGGAGGTGCGGACAAAGTGACTCATGGTTCTACAACCCACCTCCCCTGCAGGGTGCTCACTGAAGGTTCTGGCAGACAGCGAGCGATACACATGGATTGTGCTGTGAGGGCTGGATCACCCTGGACCTTGACTCCAACTACCTCCGCAGCCCAGGAGAGGATTGCCTTCCTGGGCTGGCCCCACACTGGCCACAACCGGCACCAGTGTTAGGCTGCGGTAAAGGACTGGCAAGGTGGCCTGAGAGTCTGGACTTTTTTTTATTTATGCCTATTTAAGTTGGGGAAGGGCAGAGGGAGGAGCCCCTGCCTCCCAAGCCTCCAGTGCCTGCTCCGCAGCCAAGCCCAGCCCTGCACCCTGTGCTTTGGTCCCTTTTCTTGGCTGCAGGTGTGACCCCCAAGGGAGGCCCAGTGGCTCCAGCCTCCCTCACCTGGGGTGGGAACCCTGTGGCTACCCCCACTAAGTTCATGTAATAAATGCTTTATTTCTGAGACTGGCTGAGGTTTCAAACCCACCAAGCCCTGCCAGTCAGCAGTAGACAAAGATTACAGTGGTATTTATTGTTTTAAGAAAGACTACAAAAGGTAGAAAACAGCACACTAAACTACCACACGCATGGACACTTTCACTGCTGGGGAAGGGAGGCCCCATGGGCATTGGGGAGTGTGCACGACCACCCCAAAAGCTGTAGCACACAGAGCACACAAAATAGTGATTTTTTATACAATAGCCAGATTTTCCTTTTTTTTTTCTCCCCCCTCCCCCGCTTTTTTGTCATAAACATCTATCACAGATTGAAGACACTGAGATAACGGGAACAGATAAGGCCATGATGGTTGGAAAAAAACCCAACAAGTTACCGGCTCCGCTCAAGCGGCGCTCACGAATCACACAATAGTTAAAGGGGGGGCCACGGCACAGAGGAGAAGCGTCTCTGGGAGAAGGTTCTGTCACAAGCCTGCGGGGTTGAGGGCATGGGCACGGCCTCAGGTCTGGAGCACCAGGTCCGCAGGGATGCTCCTCTTTGGAAGCTGGAGGCCTACGCCCTACCGCATTCATCCGCCCCTCTGCACTGCGGGACCAAGAGGTCCCCGCTCTGGAGAGGATGCACACCCACAGATTTAATTGCACTTATACCAAGAAGGGGAGCAGTGGGGCTGCTGGGAGTGGGGTCTAGGGGCTGCTGCTGACAGTGGGGGTCCCCAGGCGCCGCCCATCTGCGCCTGCCAGGGCTCCAGTCTGTCCCAACAGGCTGTGCAAAGCCAGCCAGCAGAATAAGTTAACAGTTCCACAGGGGAGGGGGCCGGCCTGCTGCCCCCTGGGGCGGCGGGGACCGGGCTGCGGGGAAGGCGTGGGGCACCTGGGCACGGCAAGGTTCCTTAAGGCACATCTTTTGTGTCAGGGTTTGCAGCTGTGGTTCCACCCAGCCCATGATTGTGCCGGCCCAATGTGGGGACGGGGCCCCTGGCCTTCCCATCTGAGGTCTCCTCCTGGGCTGGAGGGGTGATAGCAAAGCCACAGAAGCTGGGGGACCCTGGTGTGGAGGGGCGGCTGGGGAGGGCAGGCGGAGGGGCTGGGGAGGCCGCGACCTTAGCTTGAGGGCAGCGCCTGCACGAAGAGGCCTCGCGCCTCGGTCCGCGCCAGCTTGGCGGGCGGCTCCAGCGTCTCAGGGCCCAGCGCGGGCGACTCTCCGCTGGCCGCCAGGGAGATGTCCTGTGGCAGCTCGTCCTCGCTCTCTTCTTCCTCTTCTTCCTCCTCGTCTGGGGCACAGAGACCGGGCACAGTTAAGCGGGTGAGGGGCCAAGGGGCACCGTGCAAGTCAGCCACCACCCCATTCCGCCCTGGGACAGGGTCCCGGGTAGGGACGTGCTCTGCCTACCTTTGTCCGGGTCCAAGGGATTCAGTGAGGTGGCCAGGTTAGCGAACTGAAGGAGAGGGAAAAGGGTGAGGTTCCAACTCCTGCCTCCACCAGCAAGGCATCCCCACCATCCCCAGCATCACAGCATCCCCAGCGTCGCACCTCGCCCATGACCGCGATCGGTGTCTCGCCCTTCGCCTGAGCCACGCGGTGCTCGATCAGGTAGTACATGTACTCATCATAGAGCAGCCGGATGAGGTGGAAGGAGCCGAAGCTGGCGGCGCTGCGCAGAGTCAGGTCCCGGATCACCATGGAGCTGTGGGCGGCGAGCAAGAAACAGGCCCAGAGGTTACTGTACTTTGCTACTGCCACCTTCCCTGCGTCCTTCACTGACAGCTAAAGGGCGTTCACTTCCTCACCCCCGTGGCTCCTTCCCAGGGCCCGGACCTTCCTTAACTCCACCCACATCAAATAGGCGTGGCCTCCTAGTGTCATTCACCCCCTCAGGGGTGGCACCTTGGTAGGAGAGGTCTCCTCTTAAGCGGCTCCGGGGCTCCCTCCCTCCACACCCCGCCCGCCCGCACAAGTGCACACCTGTAGAAAGACCACTTTAGGAGGAAGAGCTTGGCGGCCTTGGGGAAGCCGGAGCTGCCCTGGTAGGGCTTGAGGACCTGGCTCACGACGCCGTCCAGCCAGGCTGCCCACTGCTCTAGCGAATTCTGCTGCTGCAGTGTCACCTTGAAGTCCTGCTCCAGACGCTGCACCACGCGGTCTTCGCAGCGGCATACCCACGAGGCCTGCTCCTGGGGCGTAGGAGGAAGAGCTTGGCGGCCTTGGGGAAGCCGGAGCTGCCCTGGTAGGGCTTGAGGACCTGGCTCACGACGCCGTCCAGCCAGGCTGCCCACTGCTCTAGCGAATTCTGCTGCTGCAGTGTCACCTTGAAGTCCTGCTCCAGACGCTGCACCACGCGGTCTTCGCAGCGGCATACCCACGAGGCCTGCTCCTGGGGCGCAGCGGGTGG